TCAGGCCAGCTGAAGTTACTGCCGGGCTCAGCACCATTCTGCTCACCAAAGGAGAGCCAAAAGTCATTGTTATCGAACTGGCTAGCATTTAGGGAGGTGAAGAGGTTGTCCAGCATGTTGGATTCACTGTCGTCCAGGAGGGCGGGGCCCAGCGGACGTTCTGGCGCAGAATCAAACGGTGTGTCTTGCGGTGATATCAGGGCATCTGCCTCAGTCAGTCTTGTCTCTTCTACTTTTATTCTCTTGTGGCTGCCCTCTCCTTCTCCCTTGTATGGTTCAAAAGGATACGTACAGCCAAAAGGCCCTGGTGGAGGGGTTGAAGAACCCTTCATATGATGGGCGGACTCAGAGCCCCAGCTCCATGCTACACGCGAGTCCACTGCCCAGGTGTGAGGAGTTCGAGTTTGGGTTGGCAGAGAAGAGAGACCGCCTGAACGGCGACACCGTCTCAGTCATGCAAGAAACCATTTAATGTGGCCAGGATTGGGATATGCTGGAGTATGTCAACTGTGTATCGTAACGAGGGCGTCTTTTCCAAACCCCCCGTCAGCAGAAGTATAACTATAACAACCGGTACACTCCAGGAACAGGAACCAGAAAAAATCCGTCGAAAGCCAGCGTCGAGTGGTCCGTCAGGTAATCACCAGGAACTCCAGCGAAGAGAGAGAGAGAAAGAGAGTCAGCAAGGTCGAGTCAACCTGTCATTCCAGGACGTCGTGCAGTCAGACAGGCAAGCAAGCAAGCAGATAATAGTAGTCGTAGAATCGAACAAAAGTGTGGAGGAAGCAAGCCACCCTTTATCTTCTATCACATGCGACTCGCAAAGCCAAAAAAAGAAAAGGAAAAAAAGGCGTGCGGGCCGTGTGATCGCTGGCTGAGGTAAGCGGAGTTGGACCAATAGAAAAAGGGCGGAAGAAAGTCGTGCCGACTTCGATATGGGCGACCGGATGGAACCTTGATGACAGCGAGGACGAAAGATGAAAGAAGAAGAGGGTGCAAGGGAGAGGCAGATGAGAGTGATAAAGAAAGAGTTGAGGGCTGTTAAGATACCGACACTGCGTTCACCGGGCTGGCCTCCCGATCTCTGATGGAGTGAGCGACCCCTAGAGGCCGACCCTTCTTATACGTATATTTGGAAGTATAGACTTCTGGTTTGCCCCAGTTGTCTAGCGCTGAGGCTATTGCGAGCTAGCTTTCCAGAAGTGTAGAAGACTCCGTCACTTTAAAAAAAGTGGACAAGACGGCCAAAAACAAAAAAACAGGGTCTCAACTATGGCGTCTGGCTCGTCGCATGGCGGTATTTCCTCATCCATCAAGGTGGCCCGAAAAGGGAAAAAAGGGGGGACTTTCTAGGGAAGAAGCAAGCATTAGCACGTATACTCCATACTTTTCTGCACGCTGCATGGAGCAACGACGAATAGCAAAAAAGGAAAAGAAAGCAATAAAATAATAATAATAATAATAAATGAGAGAGCGTCATCGAGTTTGCCTCGATCGATCTTCGCTTGTGGCTTTGTATTTTTTTTATTGTTTTTTGTAATTTTTTTTTTTCCCACCATCTTCCCATTATTAGTTCGTTCAACTGAGTTTTGCTGCAGGATGGGACTAGATGCTCTCCGTAGATTGCATACTAAGCTGGTGGTCACTGTCTCGTCCCAGCGGCCCGCAACCGACTGGGATTCCCCTTCGCCGTGTTGACCCAAGGCCTATCAGGACGGACAAAGATGTCACTCCCATAAACTCCGTACGGACTGTTGCTCACCCACAACACACAACACGTAGAGGTACTCTGTCTTTCCCCAGCTTGTGTGCAGAGCCCGAACCCTTCACTTATCTTTTTAAAATTAGAGACCCGCAGCGACCAGGATCGGCTAGGTAGGCGAGTTGAGATGAGATGCAGTTCGGAAGGGTTCCTTGATGGCCTGTACGAGCTTGCATCTTGCAGTTAGTTAGGTATCGGTGGCGTTAGCTATGTCTGTTGCCTGCATTATTATTACTGTGTACCCCGTATAGCTTGTTAGTTACACACCTCGACCGCACAATCGAACGAAGGCACACGATAGTTACTCCGTAACAGCGAGAGCGCCCTAGCGAGCTGCACGCGAAGACGCTGAAGAGTCGAGGGCCCGTCAGCGAACTTCCCTGATCCCGGCCTCGGAAGTTTTTCCTCTCCCTCTGCCTCCTTTGCTGCCCAGCGGGCTTGCTTTCCTCAGCGCTGTCGCGTCGTCCGTCGAGCGAGCGTCGAGCGGAAAAGAAAAAGGAAGATACAAGGAAGTTACTTGCAGGCTTGGCTTGGCGGCTAAATTCCAACCGCGGCTCGCTCTTCACGTGCCTGTACCTCGCCTGTACCTCCAGCTCGCGCTCACTAACTAGCGACCTCGCCAGCAACAACCACCTCGACAGCGCAACGCTCACGATTGACCGCTAGCGACGACGGCGCCCGCTGCAAGTGCTGCCACCGTGGACACGCCGACGCTGGAAGACCGGCTGGCAGAGGTTGGCAGCGACCAATGATGCGATCGTGCCCCGCAAGCGGACACCTTCCGACATCCGTGATCAGATCATCGACCTCTTTTTAAGGGCCGACTCTTCCTTTAGCGCGCCGGTACTTCATGGGGTCCCCCCCCCCCCCCCCTTCGCGTGTCGACCACGGTCCTGCTCCTCCTCCTCCTTGCTGCTGCTGCTGCTGCTGCTGCTGCTGCTCCAGAGGACCCCGGGCAGAAACGTTAACTTTGGCTTCGACTCGGGCTTTGGTGGTTTCGGTCGAGAGCTATGTCGACGCAGCGTTCCAAGGTCGCGCTCGACCGTCTACGCATCTTGAAACCGTATGCACTCCTGCACCCAACCCGCTCCTATATATTCCCTGTCTTTCTTGTTCTTGTCTCTCAGCCGCTCTGCTTTCTTCTAACATGAGTGTTCTTTGAACAGGGTTGCTCGGGCGTTTGCGCTTGGATATCTCACTACTACCCTGCCGAAACTTATCTCTCTTTTGAAAACTCTGCGGCGGAGAGACGTTAGCACCGCAGAGAAGCTACAGCGGGTAAAGAAACATCATCTGACACTGCTAGTTTGGAACAAGTTTGTTATTGACATGTCATTATTGTAGTTGATCCGCATCTTGCATTGTGGTTTTAAATGGGACCGCTTTCCAGTTTTCTGCGCTCTGCTGGCGGGGGGCTCCTCCATCCTGCCTCGTGCCCTGGAAGTTGTTAGATTAAGATTCGCCTCCGGTGGGTATCTCCAATCCCTGCCCACGACTGGTATTCCACTTTCGTCGAACCGGCCGTTGCGGTTCCTAGCGGCCTTCCTGTCCGCCCTGATCTGCTTTCCAATCCTCAATCGTACAGCAAAACATCCGTACGGCCGGCGTGCGGGACTCGACCAACACGCTTCCTCCGATCAATCCAACGTGGCCAAGAAGAATAAGGACTACGGCAACGGCAACGGCAATGGCGGCGGCAACAACTTTGACGACAACGACAAGCACCACCTTGCTGGTCGCACCCTAGACTTGACTCTCTTTGCGACAACTAGGGCTGCAGATGCTATAGTCAACCTGTTATGGTCACAGTGGAAAACCTCCCCACGCGCCGCCCATGGAAAAAGCAAGACCGGGCAACGGGTGCACTCCCTTGCCCCCAAACTCGCAGATACTGGCCTCTTCGCTATCAGCTCCGCTATTGTGATGTGGGCTTGGTTCTACCTCCCAGAACGACTTCCTTACTCCTATGGCAAATGGATCAGCGAAGCTGCCCAGCTCGATAGCCGCATCCTTGAAGCCCTCCGGACTGCCCGCAGAGGCGAGTGGGCCTACGGCCGCGACAACGGCGATCAAGTGGTCCTCGAATCCATGTGTGCTGACTACGGATGGCCAATCGAATGGGGCACTCCCCAAAAGACAGTTCCTATTCCCTGTGAGATAGTGCACATGGGTTGTGGTCCGAACTGTGAAAAAACCGCCATCTGGCGATTTGCTAGAGCTTTCAAGTTTGCTTGCGCCACGTACATCCCTCTCCAGATCGTGATGCGTTGTCGATCCCGCAATCTCAAAACATACATCCATGCTATCAAGAGCGCGCTACGTTCGTCCACATTCCTCGGCCTTTTCGTTAGCCTGTTTTATTATTCCGTGTGTTTGGCGCGTACAAGACTGGGACCTAAGCTGTTTAGCTCAAAAACAGTCACACCTATGATGTGGGATTCCGGTCTCTGCATCGCCGCCGGTTGTGCAATGTGTGGATGGAGCATCTTCGTGGAATCAGCAGGGAGAAGGCAGGAGATTAGCTTGTTTGTTGCTCCCAGAGCACTGGCTACATTGCTTCCACGGGAATATGATAAAAAGGTACACTCTTCAATCCCTGCAAATCATACATTCCCGTTATACTAACTCATCATAGTATCAATGGAGAGAGAGGCTGGCTTTCTCTCTCAGCACTGCTATTCTCGTTGCCTGTACACATGAAAATCCAAATATGGTTCGCGGCGTATCCGGCAAGTTCCTGGCTCGCGTGTTCAAGGCATGATAGATCCTCATAATTACCCTATTTCTTTCACCACCATGTATTATTACATTTTTACGTCATTTAACTTTACAAGCTATATAATGTTAATATATAGATGTCCTTCACTCGGCTTCTCTCCATGGATTTTCCGAGTTTGATAGACTTACCTAGGCAGCCCAGCTAGATCCACCTATTATGTCATCTTTGCTAGCCCTATGCATCACGTGAGTCAGGTACAGAACTCTATTTTTACCCTGCGGAAAAAGGGAACGCCCCTTTTCAGAAAAACGCAATGTGCTAGGTTGTTACCCTTAGCACTTATTTTTATTTTCCTGATATCCATGCAGAACAAAGACACCGGAATAGCGGAGTTCAGTCTGAACTGCTGCGCCTCAGTGTGATGCATGCAACGCTTTCTCCGTACGAATGCGAACACGAAACTCCAAGCGGATTCCACATATGGAAGCAAAATCCTGCAAGCTCGTTAACTAGTTGGTTACTTTCTCGAAAGAGTGATAAGCTTGATCGACTCAGGGATTCATCTGCTTCAAGCGATGATGCCTGACGGTGCACAAGATATGTATCTGTACGACATATTTTTTGCTTAGCTTAGTTGGCAATGACGTACGATGAACGACAGACCACGAGGTCCAATTGACCTTCAAAGCAAACAAGCGTTCACTATGCGTTTTGCAGTCGTATAGTGCAATGCCGATCAAACTGAGCAATAGCCCTATAGGGCTAAGGCCTTGAGCTCGCCCGGTACCAGCGATCAGGGCATTAAATCTCAGCCGGCGGTTGTGCTTATTTTGAACCTTGCCCGTTATCGTGACGTCGACTATTGTCGTGCTCAGGCAGCATAACTTCAATATTATTCTTATTTCGGCTTGTCTGTTTCAAAGACGGGCTGAAGTGGATAAGTATGAGAGGTGTTCAATCACCAACACGCTGTCTATCCCTGCAATGAGCTTGAAAAAGGGGGGTCTAAGGTTGACAACCCTTTTAACGGCCTGTCAACAAATGCGGAAAATGCCAGAAGTCTTTTCCCTTGGTGTTTTTCTCCGACACAGCGGATTCGAATTCCGCGCTGACAGATGTTTGCATTCTGTCACGTTTTTTTGGGTCGCCGGCGTGGGCCTACATGGATTATAGACTATCGACAAGGATAGAGCTCTTTACCTCGCGATATCCCTGCTGTAGCTAGGGAAGTCTAGATACTCCGCTTCCTCAAAATATACCGGCTACTTAAAAATATCAGGCTGACAGGGAACAAGCTTCAGAATCGCTTTGAATGTTTTTTTTTTTTTTTTGGTTTCCCTTGTGGTTTTTGTGAAATAAAGCGCAATGCAGCTCGTGGACTAAAGCAGCCGCCGTTCGCCCATGAAAAATTCTTCAGACCAAAGTGCCCGATTCCATCTAGATCAGACGATCGATTCTTGGGTTGGCCAGGGATACGAAGACGAACCTGATTGAGGCTTGCTCGTAAAAACACGTTAGGCGAAAAGGAATGACGACCAGCAATGTCTGGAAAGCCACGTGGATTGCTTTTTAGTCTTGCACTATTGGATTTCTGCAGGTTTTTTCTCGCTTAGCAGTAGTAATATTAAAATAACAGATGGGCTGGCCTTCAAGGTGCCTTTAGTCGTTCGACTTGACGAAGCGATCAGCTTCAAAATCATGGAGACAAAAGCGAAAACGACCAAAAGAAATATAAAAATTATATAAGCGTATTATATAATGAATGACTAATTGGTTTTCGGATAATGTTTTTCCCGTCAATGCCCTCCGCCCCGTTCCATCCATCGGCATCCAATGGAAATGGACCTAGCTCTTGAGTCATGCCGACTTCGGCCAATTTTGATATCGAGCTGTGATGCGGAAGAAACAATCTTGATATTAGTATTGAATTTAACACTGAAGGTTGAACAGAAGCTATAAAGATGGCTACGCCTTCGAAGAAACGCTGCGGTAAGCCACTTAACCCAATCGCAAAACCATTATACTCATTGTATGTTTTAGGTGTTCTTGGAGCAACTGGTGCGGTAGGCACGCGATTCATCCTTCTACTCTCACAGCATCCGTTACTCGAATTGGTAGCAGTAGGCGCCTCAGACAGGTCATCAGGCAAAAAATACCGTGATGCTGTTCGTTGGAAGCAGTCAGCTCCTATGCCCGCTAAAGTGGCGGACCTGACTGTCCGTTGCTGTGACCCCGCCGAATTTTCAGACTGCGACATTATTTTCTCCGGGCTGGACCCAGATGCTGCGGGCGAGATTGAGATGGCTTTCCTCAAGGCGAATTTCGCTGTTTTCTCCAATGCAAAGAACTATCGACTGGATCCCATGGTACCGTTGGTGGTGCCCCTCGTTAATGCGGGGCATATCGATGTGATCCCCGCACAGAGGAAGCATTTCGGTCTTGATAAAGGAATGCTGGTATGCAATTCCAATTGTGCTGTTGTAGGATTGGTTGTCCCGGCGAAGGCTCTCATTCAGAAGTTCGGACCCATTGAGTCGGTGAGCATGGTTACCATGCAGGCTGTCTCAGGAGCCGGTTATCCTGGTGTCAGCAGTACGTATACCCTACCAATCACCTCAAACATGCAAGTGCTAACTCATTGTACCAGGCATGGATATATTTGATAATATCGTTCCATACATTCCCGGTGAGGAAGGGAAAATATCTAGTGAAGCACGCAAGATTCTAGGAGACCTTAACTCTGATCTAGCTGGATTCAGTGACCAGAAACCCCTTCAGATTTCTGTTGCTTGTAATCGTGTCCCCGTCCTTGATGGCCATACCGTCTGCGCATCCCTCCGTTTTGTTAACCGCCCCCCACCTACCGCAAGCCAAGTACGTGAGGCTTTGCGGGAGTACAAACCAGAGGTCCAGACATTAGGATGCCCCTCTGCTCCCAAAATGAGCATCCATGTCATGGACGAAGTAGACCGACCACAGCCTCGTCTTGATAGGGAGACTGAAGGCGGATATGCCTGCACTGTAGGCCGAATCAGAGAAGATGACAGCGATGTCTTTGATATCCAATTCGTTGCTCTTAGCCATAATACTGTCCTTGGGGCGTCGGGTAGCAGTATCTTGAATGTGAGTCTCCATTTCCTGCCTACATTACATGAATGAATGCTGATGAGTCTCTTCGATAAATTATAGGCCGAAAGTGCCATCTTGAAGGGCTTTGTCTAGCCTAAGTCAGATAGGTCGGCGTCTTGATACACCAACTCCTTGCTATGATACATGCTTGAAATATAGACATGGATATACTTCCTTCATTTCTCATTTTGAATCTGATCTATCAGCTATCATTTGCGCTCCCGACTCTGTGCTCGTACAAATTTGGCAGAGTAGGGTTGCATCATCAAACCTCCACTGCCCGGATCTAATCCATGCATCGATTGATAGGAATTTAAACTTTAGTTTTCCCCGCGTCCTACATATTGCCAATCGATACATGGAATAGAACACATAGCAAACACAGGGATATGGGGAATTATATTGGGATTATGGCGATATATGTTCATCTATACTTTATTATGTACAAGGTACAGTGTATATACAAACAGAAATAGGTCTCGGACCCGACAATTAGATTCAAAAACTCAAGCAGACAAGAGCCATCAAGAAACCGTAATGGTTTATGGGCTGATACCTAAGACAGGATTGCAATCACTTTAGCAGCCAAGGTAGATAGCTATATAAAAGTCAGTCATAATGAACTCCACATCAGATGAAGGAATGGAGTTTACATACCGTTGGCGAAAAGGGAGTAGGTATCGGCGTTCTGGATGGCCTTGGAGGCTGGGAGAGCAGAGACACGCTGATAGCCGTAGCCGAGATCCTCGCAGAAAGGAGTGACAACAGCGGGGTTGTGGGTGAGCTCGTGGAGAGTGGTGGTGGCCTGGTCCTGACCGTGGCAGCGGTTGTTAAGGGCAGGGAGCTGGTAGTAGCTGGGGCAGTTGAAGACCTGGTTTCTGGATGGAAGGGTGTATGCAAGGACACCAGGGTGGCAACCACCTCTGTTGTCATTGCAGTAGTAGGTGGTTCGGCCAGTAGAACCAGAGCTGGACTCGCGGGCGACGGACAAGAAACGGCTGGCAACCTTCTGGACGGTGCGGCTGTCAGCGGTCTTGAAGTACTCGCGCATCTTGCTGGGGTTTCTCTGAGCAGCAGAAGCGGCAGCTCTGGAGAGGCGAGAAGCGTTGGAGAGAGCAGTTTGGAGGACACGAAGCTGGCTTCCGCGGCAGCTGGAGGTGACGATGTTGGAGCGCTTGTCAATAACACCGGTGGAGTCGTCACCGCCCATAGCCTGTTCAACAGCAGCGGCCTGCTTTCCATCGACATCCATAGTGAGCTCGTTGGACTCATAGAGAGTGTGGCCGGTAATGGTGGTTGCGTTCTCCTCAGCGGTAGGGACCATTCCGTGTGCCTTGACAGTGATTTTTCCGCCACGGCTCAGGTCGTGAGTAGCAGCAAGATCAAAGGAGTGCTCAACACTGGCTTTGGGGCCAAGGTTAACGAAGTACTCAGGGGTGAGGTCAGACATCTTGTAGCGGGGGAGCATTCCAGTGAACTGGACCTCAGCACCTTTTGTATATAGTTAGCATCATGCTGCGATGAGCAGGTAATAATATAGAAGACTTACCATCTTGGTAGACCATAACCTTGCGGGTTGGGTGCTCATCCATGATGGTGTTGAACTTCAACAAGTTCAAGGTACGGTCACCAGTGTTGGTGATAGTGGCCTTGATCATAGAGTTACCAGTAGCGGCCAGCTGGACATCAATCATGGTGTGATTGTGAGCAGCAGCTGGGATAGAGGCAGCCAGTGCCAGAGGGGCGCCGAGAGCGGCGAGAAGAGCAGTGAATTGCATCTTGAGCTCAGGAAAAAAAAGGAAAGGAAAGATAGGGAATACAGTGAATGACAGTGTAATGAATGACTATGTAGGGAATGATTGAAAGGACTGACTGAAAGGACTGACTGGTCTGGCTTTCGAAAAAGGTGTTTGTCGTGGTGGTGGGAACCTCCTTTTTATATCTTCTTCAGAGCGTACAATCTCATCCTTCGGATATATCCTCAGGAAGAGCTGACGCTCCATCCAGCCCTTCGCAGTTGGAGCTAAAGCTTGTATCGAACATGCAATAGCAAAATCCCCGGGACGATATCATATCAGAAGGACGGTATAGCTTGGACAGGGAGAAGACGATGTAATTGGAGGATACAATTCGCTGTTCGACACCCATGTGTACAATGTGATCCACAGGTAATATGACTTCACCAGGGTATGTGGTGTTTAAGTTCCGGGAAAGGCTAACCTCTTGTTAGCCAACGCCCTGTCAAAGGGCGGAGTATCATTCCGAACGCTAGCTTGTGAAAACAATGGGAGGATTACCTTATTTTAGACCGACCGAGACACAAGGAAACTGGCCGTTTTGTGGTCTGCGCAAATGCAGGCCTGTCTCTGCTCTGCATACGGAGTAAGGGATATCATTTCTTTTCCAAGAACATGCCACCATTCTAGGTGAGGTGCTTGAGATTTTCGCGAGTCACTGCAGTAGTACGGAGTACTCCGTAAAGGTTGGGAAATTCCTGGTGCATTATCATTAGCCTGGCCATAGAAAAGGGATTACTTCCTCATTCGGAGAACAACAAACCAGATACCCACTTAGTCGTGGTTTGTCTGCACTTCTCCTGTCATTTTTACTAGGGTACAAGGTATTGGATTGCCCCTAGAGCTTCGAAGATTGTCTCTATATCTCGTTCTCACCATCCTTATTCATGTAATCAATCCACTATCAAGCTGGTGGGAGCATTTTGCGGCCATTATTTTGTGATCTTTACCGCATAGCCGGAGCCATGAAGCGTAGAGTCAAGCATTACGGCACATCAAATCCACAGATCGGCTTGAAAGAAAAGTCTGGAAAAGCCGGATCACAGCTAGCCTGAACGGGTAGTTATCTAGAGGAATTCATACGACACCTTGAACGAGCGGGTTTGCAGGATAGATGGGGATGTGGAGAAGATTTATGCATGGCATTTTCAATCATCATTCCTCTGTCGATATACGGAGTACTTGCTGTAGCAGCGGAGAGGCGGTGCGGCGGTTATTATCCGAACCTCATAACTGCCCTTGCAAAACAGCGGAAGCATCATTAAATCCGATCGAAATAACACACTCCGTGCAGAGTATTTGCCGTTTGTATGTCAAACTCGACATGAATCTAGAGGCAAGATAAGGATATGTGTAGTCCGTAGGGCGTATGCCCAACCCTCACCTCAAGTAGAAACGTTGCCAGGCATGAGGATCGCCATTTTTTCTAAGACACGGAGAACAACTTCGGAATGTTTTTACCGGCATCTATGGCGTGGGCGGCGGTAATTCAACCTTGAGATCGGCGACAGCTCCATCCAAATGGATGAAACAGCTAGTGCTAAGGGGAAAAAAAATTTTCGGGCATACCATGTCCTATGACTTGGTATCTCTGTTCACCTCTAAATATCTAGCTCCACGGGATATCATTACCAATACATTCAGAGTGCCAAAAAGCATAAGCAGCCTGGAAGCTGGTGGTGCATCTAGCCCTCCGACATGAGGGAATCCGCCCAGTAGTATGTGTATATCTAGTCAGAAGGTAGTGATGTTCTAGTACTCCGTAGGTGTTTGCGGGTATTTGGCTGTCCCTTTTACTCCATAACCATGGCTACGGCCACTCGTACGAATCGGACCCATATATCCGCTTGGTGAGGCTCTCAACATCGAGTCGGAATTCAACAAAAAGCCAGGTGACGTGGTATTCCAGCGACTTGTGAGGATCAGCCGCCTTATATTCTTTTCAGTGTATGGAGTGGAGTATCCATCAACGGATATAGCACGCTGGTGCGTGCAGGCTCTGTGGTCTTGGAGTGGCTGTGAGCTGGGCATTCCTTCAGCTCTTCGACCGGAGATGATATAATTCCCCATTCCGGATCCTGGGATAAGGATGCCTTAAAGAGTGTGGATCATGGATACAGTAGATTGCGTGGCTGTCTGAGGTTGTCTAAGCGCAATCATGGGGCTGGAATCATTTCCATCACCAAGTCCTTCACTGTAAGAAAGGACTGCAACGTGACCAGGCTGTCTGAGACAGGAATTATATCAGGACAAGATTGTTGTGTGAATAATGTGAAGCCACGGAATGCCTAGAAATTGACAGGTTCAGGAGGTGAAGACGAGTTGAAGTTCGCATTTCCCCTTTTTGGACCCACAGGTGGTGGACGATGACTAAGCAAGCACAAAAAGAGCAACTTCTTCAGAGAAACGACAGACTTCCAACGTCTTCTCTATTTCACAGTCGACGATGCTATGGCGTTGAACGGCTTCACCGACCTTAAATTTGGGTTGGTCCCGGCAAACGGACGGGCGGGAGCTTTTCGAACACCTTAAAAGCTCGTCAAGTGTCTGGAAATAGATAACTACCCACTTTCTTACTACGAAATATTGGCCAACCACTCGCTCAAACAAAGATACCCTTTAAACGTCTCCAGCTATTTCTGCCCTGCATATTTCCTAGTTACATCTTGTTTATGATGTACTGAGGCCGAGTACCAGTGAACACACCTTCAATACTACCTATATTGAAGTTTCCTTTAACATCGCCAACTTTCGACGAAACGCTTATTAAACTCGCTAGAAACACGATTTCAATAGCCCTAGATTACTAGAAATACGCCAACAAGATGCCCTGCGAGCCATGAAACCCACATAATGGTGTAGCAGTACTCTGCGATGATGGAGGTCAACCAACAGTATATGAATGTCACCACTCTGTTATCCAGGAACTGCCTAAAACAGAAAAATTCCATATTTAAACATATACCTTCGGTACATGGTCCTTATGGGAGTGACTGCCAGGCTCCCAGTATCTTGTACCCAATGTTTTATTATCAGGAGTAAGAGTATCTTCCATGGCCATCGGCAGAACACAAACAGCCTATAAACCTGAAGTATGCGTTACTCAGTACTCCAACGTGTCAACCATGCCAAATTCTGCCTTAAACATGGGGCAGTAGGAATCAAATAGCGTTAACCAGATGGTATTCGACAGTTGAATATGTCAGGCCAAATTACTGACGGCCACCCGGGTGATGGGGCTGGGTGTTGGTGTATATGTCCAGCTTATTTGGCAACACATAGACTTCATGTGTTTCCTTCTGGCTCTTTGAATAAAATCGAGAGACGAAGCTCCAGCTAATGGGAACGACGCGGTAGAAGGGAAAAAGGGAATTTGCCAAACCATAGCCCTCAATGAGTCGAAAATTTATGCATTTAAGGATGTCTGAAGGTGAAATTGAACAGGCGCAAAAACTTTTAAGAAGTTGTGCCTGGTTGGCCCGTAAAGTGCATGCTTTCAAGGCTTCACACCTGCCTATGGAATCTTGATGACGTGAACACTACCGTAATCATTCAATAATTCCTTGACGCGGTGTGACGAATAAACTGGGTACATTTCTCAGCAGCTCTCTGGGTTGTGACGGCAATACTCAACGCCATACAATGATGAACAACTCAGGAAAGGTTTATAAATATGGAGAAGTTAGCATGGAAGCCGGAGGTGAACCGAGGCATTCCCAGCCAGCCTTTCCAGGACCCTGTTCCGTACACAGCTTTGAAGGCTTCGGGGGTCACGGACACACCCATGCATGCTGCCTGACAGGCTTTCCAAAACAAGCCCTACCTTACCCCTGGTCTTTCGCTCTTCATATCAATTTATGGGAAAGTATAATAGATTTTGGTCTCATGGATTCCAATATAAACCTATACGGAGTATTTAGTTCAGAGCTGTCGGAGCTGTCGGTTGCAATTGAGGTAAAGCTTTCATGTTGGGAGCCTACTCAAATGCCAGCCATAGCTCTCCGTATTTGAAACGATAATAGGTGTACCGACGGCCCATGCCCAGCTTGGAGGGCGAGAGACTCGAATTGTTTGTCCAGGTACCCTGGCACATAACAACCCTTGCCATTCCCACTCCCCAGGTTACGCTAAAACTGTGACAGTCCGCATGGGGCGGCCAGTGGATGCCAGCTCCAACATCCAAATGGAGCACTTACTTAAAAGTTGGCCAACAGACGAGAGGCACTCCATAACTCGCTGTTAACAAGGGCTGTTCGGGAAAGATTGATGATCAACCCCAGGATTTATATATATGTATGCCTGACTGACAACATTACCAATTCGCACAAACTTTCTTTTGAATAATTTCGCAAACGCCCCAGAAGAATCAAATTGCCTAGATAAGTCAAAAAAAAAAAAAAAAAAAGGGGGGGGGGGGGGGGGGAGGCCAGATGTTGTCTGAAAGATAACGAGAAGGCTTGGTATCCTCTTGTTAGTGAGGGGTGTCGCTTGACGATGCGAACTCGGACTTCGAGCTCCCTATGTTAGAGTAGTAACACTCGACAGCTCAAGACCTTCAGCCCAAAACGTGGAATCAGAGGTCGAAATATCCATGAAGATGCTTGTTTCACGCTAAAGACGAACGTGGAAGAGACGTCTCGTATTCCACACTCCGCGACTCAGTGGCCACTCACAAGGCGACTTTCTGGCGAACAAAGTCATTCTCTGCATCCCTGCCAAGGGGGGATTTATCTCATTCCAGTCCACCTCGCTTATATTTTTAGGACCCCCTTTTCCACGGAGCTCGGAGTTAAGCTCCAGATAAACTACGAAAGTATGTGGCTACAAGGATTGCATAACTGATTGACGGCCTTTATGCAAGGTACCGGCTGGCATTGACCATGAGCCAGTCCAACAGGCGCAACATTTCATGCATCTCGTCACACATTTCGACTTTCTTTTCTGAGCAACTCGCATCCCGCGCCCTCCTCGTCATAGCAAATGTTGGTATACAGACGAAGAAGTCGAGTCAAGTAAGTTCACGCCCCAAAACGACCTTGCATGGTCTGCTGCAAACTAGCTAGCCAAGGACGTCTCACATAGTTATGCCGACTTTCCGATATATGGAGCCGAGTCGAAAGAGGAATGTAAGTACGACCGGAAACCCCCCAGTGCTTCAACTTCGAGCTTGTTTCCCTCTTCCGCAGAGCTTTGCATGTCGATGAAACGTCGATACGTTCCCCCTCCCGTTTCTCTCCTCCTTTTTCTCGAAGCATCAGGGCGATTATCGCGGGTTCTCGTCGCCGCCACTCCGATGGAGGCGTATGGAATCAGTCGGCTGTTGAGCCTGGTAATCGCCATCCCAAAGGCTCCAGCCAACCAGAAAATTCAAATGTGATTTCCGGCGCATTTGGTTGGGCAGTTCTCCAGTCTGGCGGCGGGACCTAAAGATGGGGATCGACCTAAGAAAAAGTCTTTCGCGATGTCAGGGACCCATCAAACTAGCTCGTTTTCTGAAACGTCACTGATTTTTTCCGTCTGCTTGCCAGACTGCCCTACACTGCCCTCCAGTCAGATATGGAAAAGATATTCTCATCCTGAAGCAGTTCCTGACAAAACATTCTGTAGCGATGGTGCCTTGGGTAGGTCTGGAGGTGGCAAGCCCTCCCTGCAGTGTGTACGACTGCTTGACCCTGTCCTGGTAGATTCCAGGACTGGTTCATGACGAGCGATCGGTCACAATTTACCCAGGAAAAGAAAGTCTTTTCTCTGGTATCAAGCTAACTAGCGTCGGATCTAGCCAGGAGGACTGGACGGTTGCCCTGGCGCTCTGTTGGTCCACCCGGAATCCTCCACTCAGTCATCTCAATCGCGAGGATCTAACATGTTCAATTTGATAACTATTCCATTAGATGGAATAGCAGTACTCCATACCTAATGTCGTGCAATTGAGTTCGATTTGCAGGATGATGTGATGATGATACCCTTTTATCACTTTTCTTGAAACAAGACCAATACGATGAGCCGCAAGAGGCTCGGTCCCAAGTCCTTCGTACAGAGTATACGAGCAGTTAGCACTCACATTTTTTGTGTGATCTGCTCTATCCTTGATCGCTAAAAATTTGGTGCGGCGACCATTCAACTGGTGGTGGCCAAGCGTCTAAAGCCTTATCCGTCTGCCCAAGCACTGCAAGGCACGCTCGTCTCCGAAAAGTTGGACCGGCATTCCCCTTGCATTTCGACCAAAAAAAGCATGGCTCCGGCCTTAGTCGATCGATCCAGGCGGAGACCGAGATCTGTCTATCTCTGACGTGCGACGTCTTCGCGCCTTGTCCGGTCAAGCAAGGTACCAACCAGGGCCGGTCAGAGATATATAACCCGAGGGAACATCCCCCTGATACCTACTTCTATATAACCACCACTTCGATGTTATAGACCTTCAGCTCTCGCGTCTATAGCATTTCCATTCGTTTGGTGCATACCATACTCTCGTTTTCAACTTGCATTCGTTGACCGATCACTCCCTCGTTCGTTATCCCTTCTATTACATACTTCTGGGGGTATTGTATATATATTACTTTTACACGGACAACATGCTGTGCCGGCTTTTCACTCTCTTTATTGCAGCTGCACTCGCGTGCTGCGTAGCAGCTATTCCGCTGCAAGAACAGCAAACCAATTCTATCATTGAGCGCACTCCTGGTAGGTGGCCATGGCACCCACACCGTCCCAGACCGCACCGGCCCAGACCACACTGGCCTTTCCCAAAGCCACACTGGCCAAAACCACACTGGCCAGAGCCACAGCCACAGCCAGAGCCAGAGCCGACTGCAGTTCCAACTATGGCTCCAGAACCTACGACAGTTCCCCCAACTGAGCCAAGCGGAACCTACCCACCAGACACCACTCCAACCGTTGTGCCAACAGTTGTCCCGACAGACGTTCCAACCACTTTCCCATCAATGACGCCAACTGCTGATCCGACTGTAGCTCCTACCGGCACCAGTGTCCCAACTGGAGCACCAACAGGCGTTCCCCCCATGCCTGGCACTATCCCATTCGGAACCGTCATTAACGAATGTACTGTTAACGGTACCATTGCTCTCACCTTTGACGATGGCCCATACGACTACACCGGGCCTCTTCTTGACATCTTTGCCAAGAATGGTGCTAAGGGTACTTTCTTCGTCAACGCCATGAACTTTGGGAACATCATGGACTATGCCGATGTTATCAAGCGCATGTACAAGGAGGGCCATATGCTTGGTTCTCACACGTAAGTTATATCCGTCAGTTGATTTTCCAATTGCCGAACCTAGTCGTTGACAACATCTACTACAGTTATTCTCATGCCGATCTCTCCAAGCTCAACTCCACTGGAATTGCCCTTGAGATGAAGAAGCTTGACGATATCCTTGCTCCTATCATTGATGGAAACCGACCAACTTACATGCGTGCTCCATACTTCGCCTACAGCGACACTGTCTCCAAGACCATGGCTGAACTCAAGTATCACATGATCGATGCCAACATTGACACTAAAGATTACGAGCATGCCACTCCTGACGGTGTGCCAATCAGTCTTGAGAACTTCAAGAAGGGTCTCGCGGCCGGTGGCACTATCACCCTCTGCCACGACGTCCACCAGACTACTGTTGAGCTCTTGATCCAGCAGATCTTAGACGAAGTCAAGAAAAGAGGTTTGAGAGGTATGTTATCTCCCAGTTTCGGCCATAGTTTGAATGATCCAGGCTAACATTTTAACAATTTAGCTGTCACTGTTGGCGAGTGCTTGGGAGACCCCCAGGCCAACTGGTACCGCCCAGCGCAATAAATTCCATCACGTAGAGTTGAACTCTTACGGTAATGGAAATTTCGGGAGGGTATGATGGCAGAGTAAGCTCTGCTACGGGGACGCTGTGGAAGGGTGGCCATGGAAATGCACTTTTCATTGCCTAGGGTGCTTCAAGGCACATCTTCCCAGTCGTTTGACCCCAGTTCAGGGACGAGGCGTAGCTTCAGTGAGGTTGAACGCTTCTAATTACTGATCTGCTTGATGCGCTGGGTAACCGTCTGGAGTCATCATGAACTAGAAAATTGTTTTATTACGCACATTCTTTTAATACATAGTTACACATGCACATATATAATGGAATCTTGAGAAGCACGCTTTTGGAATTTACTTTTTTTGAATATCCTCTTTGGGGGTTCGCCACAATCTGCTGTCTACGCGGCTCCTCTATTTTCATCCAACAATATCCTAGTTTTGACACTTAAGGGGCATCGCTCAAGTGTTACCACTAACCCTGTCCTACTTCCCCCCTTAACCCACCCTTTATTTACGGGGCCCACGCTGAGCCTAGACTTCTGTGATGGTTATACAAATGATGTTATAGGCTAGGTTGAAGATATATACTCAGGGGAACCTTCCACTCTGCCATGAAAAGGTTGCGGGACACCCAAGTCTTCCCAGACGTAGGGGAATTTTGACCAGACAGTGCTTTAACTAGCGGGAAAGCCCATGTTAAATGTTTCTTCGGAGGAAGTATAACTTAAACCCATTGTTTAAGACCAATGGAACAGCGAGTGCATCATTATCACCAATGGTTAAATAAGAACTGCCAATTTAGTATGTTTTAGCAAGGGGATTTTACCTGTGGATAAACAGAGCTACTCCCGGTCATTACTGGCGAGCTGGTCAATTTTTTGAGTCTCGAGCATCCCGTGGGGAATGATCATGCTTGTATAAAATTAGCTGCAATTTACCATGAAGGCCTCTATCGATTAATTAATTACTTATGCTATTGGTAACTATTTCGTAGGCAAACCGGCCGCTGATTGCAGATCGATGACTAGCTCACCTAAGTTAACTAGTTATGCAAGAGTTAGTACAGGGACATAACAAGTATGTCTTCGTGTAGCCTCGAGGGCTAATAAGCGAGACAAGTATTTGAGAGATGCAGGTAGGAACTGCTCTAACGCGAAGCTGGCCCTTTTCATGACGTGAAAATGCTTACTGGACTATCCCGAGGGCCATATGCCAGCAGGCAGTTGAAATACGCTCTGTTAGCATGAAGCACTCCGCCTCGCTGAACAGACCCTGACGTCTAACTAATTTCCCAGAGTTCAAACGCGTTGCGGCTGCTACTGTCAACAGGCATGAATCTGATACCAAGAGCTTCAGACAGTTCACGGAGGGCGGATTTGACCGTGTCTTCGAAGTCGTGATGTAAGGGCGACAACACTAGGATTCTCATCTGGCTTCTCTACCCTTACACTGTCCCGAACGCCTTGCTGTTGCGAACGAACTTGCAACGTTGGGCCTGCTTCGCTGTCATGACATTCGGATGCCGTGACTCCTTGTCTACTCTGCCGATAATACAGTCGGAGCCGAATACATTCATATTGAGAGCGCCAGAGGAGCTTCGGAAATTCATTGTATACCCTTTCAGAAGAGCAACGGTTAAGAGGGATCTTGATGGGCATGGTCCCGCCTAAGGCCAAGTTATTTGCCATCCACCCCCCGCTGCGGGTAGCGTATATTACAGTGGTGAATCTAACCCCGGATTTGAATTACCACTGTATATGTGTCTCGGGGTAATGGTGCCTCCGGACGACCGGAAATCTGCGTTGGGCCGGACGTATCTTCGAGTATGCGGAGAGACCTCTAACTCAAACATCGATCGTCGTCCTCGTAAGTCGTTTTCAGGAAATATTAACTATAATATCCGGACAAAGTTTTCTAACTGGTTTATAACTATATCAGACCTGAGTGCCGCCCAGTGTATGGAAACTGTGACAAAGAAAGAATTAGCATGGCTGAAACTGCACGCTAAACCACGTTATCCATAAGAACGGAAGGATTTACTGCGTATTGAAACACCCGAGAAGTACCTAAAAATCCAAGCCTTACATTATCCTGAAGGACAAGATCCTACATGGGCCGATACTGTGCCGTCCTGATCTCCAACCAGACAACATCTTTGTGAGCTTGACATTTTTGGTCTGATAGACTGGCAGCTCTGTTCTGCATTTCCCATTTCCCTCGCAGCGGGGATTACACATTCTATTCAGAACCACGCGGATGACGAGCCATTTACTTCACTCTACCCAAGTTACCAGATACCCTGGGGAAACGAGCCCTGATGAACATTCTGCTGCACTTGAGCAGTTTCGAATGTGACACTTACACTTTTACTACATTGAAATTACAAACCACTTTAACCCATGTCACGGTAACGCACTTAGTTCAGACCTAAGCCGTATATTAAAGCAGAAACATTTACCCATGCAGGCTAGCCTTGGGAGGGCAATAATGGCCAGCTTAAGGTGGATATGGTACGTGTCTCGCAAAACTGGAACGTCGTTGTTATTTGTGCAGACAACAAACAACGGGTAGACATCACTAACAAGTACATGCCTCAATGACCTGTTACTTTTGACTCAGCAGAAGCCCAGGAAGTACTCATCGAACAGGAGTATGTAGACATCGATACTCAACTTTCTAGGATTCGGGACGCGATCGGAGTAGGTGTCGACGACTGAACATTAAAAGAAACTTTTGATGACGCTGTTGCAAGTGCAAAGGAGTTCAAGAGATGGCAATTGCTTCAGCCTCGGATAACAAACATAATCAAAAGACGATCGAGAAACATTGCCAGTTATGACTTTGACGAGGCTGGTACTCGAGCTTGTCTGGCTTGGGTATTAGGATAAGTGCAAAATCTCGTCAAGAAAGCCACATATAGTGCATCCAAAGACCGTGACCAAGATTTTCATAAATATAAATAGAAAAAATGTAATAATATATAGTCTCGTTTGCAAGTCCAAGGTTTATCGCTTATCGCGATTCGGCGCTAGCTAAACGCCGGCTATTAAATTAGATTACATAAGCACATAGCTTGAGCGAAACCAACATCGGCTGAGATGCTGCATAGTCGGCATGTTTAATTGAAGCTGACCACATAGATTACAATGGAACGGCTAGTGTCACTATGGGCTCGGCCAGCAGTCGGCATACGCACTGCAAATGCAATCAAGACGGCTGGCATGTCAAGATGCCGGATACCGACTCGAGGTTTTGCTAGTCAAACTCCGTTGCGGCAGCAAACGGCTCCAGCCAGCCCGCGGAACTTGAGATGGGATAGCAAGAATACATCTACAATGTAAGTGAGAAGCTGTACATTTCCTTGAATATATATACTAATACGTTTCTCTTATTTTAGGTACTATACAATTAGCATCATTGTCGGAACTCTTGCAGTCGCATATGGCTCTGTGCCTATGTATAAAATGGTTTGACGGTCTCGACCCGTCCGTTTTCGGCTCATGCTTACCATATTTAATTCTCCAGATATGCCAACAAACCGGTTGGAATGGCCAACCTGTCTCAACACATCTCACAAACACCGATACCGGCTCCCGCGTCACTCCCGTCACAGACTCTCGCCGTCTTCGAATAACATTCAATGCTTCCGTATCTGATGTTTTACCCTGGAAATTCACTCCCCAGCAGCGAGAAGTGCGGGTTCTTCCAGGAGAAACGGCATTGGCCTTTTATACCGCTTCGAATAAAGGTGACCAGGATATCATCGGCGTCGCAACGTACAGTGTGACTCCAGCTCAGGTTTCGCCATATTTCAGCAAGATTCAATGCTTCTGCTTTGAGGAACAGAGACTGAATGCTGGAGAAACCGTTGATATGCCCGTCTTCTTCTTCATCGATCCAGATTTCGCCAAGGATCCTGCCATGAGAGGAATTGACACAATTACACTATCATATACCTTCTTTAGTATGTCAACCATCCCCTCTCCTTACTCATTCTCTGATAATATTTTTCGGAGTATTTGTGCTAAAAGCCTCCCTTTGTAGAAGCTCGATATGACAAAGATGGTGTTTTAAGGCCTACACCCTAGGTCGTCTTGATTAGTGAAACAGTTTATATGGTTTTCAACTCGAGAAGCTCCAAGTGCTGTTGACAAATTATACCAAGAAGGATATACTGTACCCACAGCAATTTATGGGGCTATTTTGCATCTTTGGCGTTTGGATACAGGGTCTCCTCTCACGACATGAACAAATCCCCGATAGGGCATGTATACTTTAAATGTATAGATAAGGCGATTAGAACGAGCTATTCTCAATTGAGCCACTATCCCCGAACCTACGGAGCTACGAATTGTAAAACTGCCCTTTGGTGTGTGATGTCTAGCACACTTGCTTGTTCCCCTATATTGCATTTCACGCCTTTCCCAGAGCCAGGGCTCCTGATTATGTCATCCAAAGTTTACGTTAGTCAGCATACCGCACGGGCCACAAGATGTTAATAGGAAAACGCGCTTCTTTTGACGCGCCCGAAGCTTTCGTTGACGGAGGAGAGTATAAGAAAAGGAGAAACAGCTCAACCACCGACGGATCACAGATATACAATGGCACTTCTCGTTGACAGGCTACGGCCTAAAACCCTCGACGCACTTACCTATCACCAAGATCTTTCAGCTCGGCTTAGAGCTCTGGTATGAGACCAGCGGAAATTGAATTTAGCGGACATGCAATCCTGATCTGACTTGACATAGGCGCAAAGCGGTGATTTCCCCCATCTTCTCGTCTATGGACCTTCTGGTGCGGGAAAAAAGACTAGGATAATTGCCACACTCAAAGAGCTATATGGACCGGGTGTTGAGAAAATCAAGATAGATGCTCGAGTGTTCCAGACCAGCAGTAACCGCAAGCTCGAATTCAATATCGTCTCCTCCATATATCACCTTGAACTCACGCCATCGGATGTTGGGACTTACGACCGTGTCGTTATCCAGGAGCTTCTCAAAGAAATAGCGCAGACGCAGCAGGTAGATCAATCTGCCAAACAGCGGTTCAAGGTAGTCGTTATCAATGAGGCAGACCATCTTACCAGAGACGCCCAGGCGGCTCTAAGAAGAACCATGGAAAAATACAGTCCAAATATGCGATTGATTCTGCTTGCCAACACTACTGCCAATATCATTGCTCCAATTCGATCAAGAACACTGCTAGTCCGGGTACCTGCTCCCTCTGAAGACGATATTTGCCAAGTTCTGAAGCTAGCCGGGAAGAAGGAAGGCTGGAATGATTGCCCTGGGCTTAACAAGCGACTGGCCAAGGAGAGCGGAAGGAATCTGCGACGAGCTCTATTAATGTTTGAAGCTGTTCATGCACAGAAGTGAGTTTGAGCCATCTTTACCCTCAGCCCGGGAAATTGCTGATGTTCGTATAGTGAGAAAGTTTCAGATAACACGCCAATCCCACCGCCAGATTGGGAAGCACTGATATCTGTGGTAGCTGATGAGATTATGGCGGAGAGATCTCCTGCTAGAATCCTCCAAGTCAGAGCCAGGTTGTATGACCTACTTACCCATTGTATACCACCAACTACCATTCTAAAGGTAATATCCACAACCTACTAAAGCAATATTTTAACTGTATCTTGGGTCTGCAGCTAATTCTATTCCAGACCCTTACCTTCAAACTAATACCCAAGGTTGATGACGCACTAAAGCCTGAAGTCATTAAGTGGTCGGCCTTCTACGAACATAGAATAAAGATGGGAAGCGTACGTCTATGCTATGTCAATTCTTTTGAATCAGCGCTGACAAGATACTGCAACTGTTCAGAAAGTTATATTCCACCTTGAAGCCTTTGTAGCAAAGTTTATGAGAATACTTGAAAGGTACGCGCTGAGCAATATTGCCTTTTACTTGGCGCAGACTACTAACGTTCAACAGTTATTTGATGGGTCTCGACTTTTAGATGATAAATGTTGTACGACTGGCATTGAGCTCGGAGAATACGTGTATCATATTTACTAAATCTTATTTCCATTATGACATTGGAGAATATGGATAAATGTTTCTCATTTCCAGGCTTTCTTGAAAGGGAAAGGAAGATATAAACGCTCTATATTTTGACAAACGTCTAAATTACAGGTAATATACATGCAACGCCATCGTCCCGGGTATATCGATGCCTTTTTGTTTATGAAAAAGGAGCCGATTCTGACGTCGTCGTTGGTTTTGAGTTGAGTGGAACCGCTCGTCGTGGCCTCTTCAGAGACTCTAAAGTAACGCCGTCTTTTAACTTGGTAATTCCAACAACAGGCGGGTCGCCTTTCTTGACGAACTCGTACATTCCTGCCAAAACGTTAGCTTCCCTTCAAGAGGAACAAGATACAATGCTCCAATATCTCACGTACCGGGCATCTTGTGAGCAGCTAGCCTGAATGCCTCCCTGGCGACTTTCTCGTGTATATCGCCCTTTAATTCGAAAATAACTCGACTAACTCCGACTCTCGCAGCCCAATAATCAAATTTACCCTTTCCTTTTCCCATTCGCATTTCGTTACCACTCGTATAAACACCTATGTTGGCGCTGACTCGTGGGTATAGCTTATAATTCATCCCTCTCAGACGTCTCTGAATCGCTTCGAATCCAATCTTCAACGACGAGGCGGGCATTCTTCGATCATGGTCGACCATCCGCAGTCCGTAATCTCCCCAAACAACTGTTGTACCGCGAGAAGATCCACCCGTTGCCATATGAGGTCGGCCTTTTGACGATTTACTCTTCTCAGCCGCCTTGGGGACCAACCAGTTGGATGTCGGGGAGGTTGTGGAAAAGCATCGTGCGGCGGAGGTTGATATCGATGATACTGAAGAATGCGTTTAGCTATGGGTTCCAGCGCAGTGCGTGGTGGAAGACGGCATACTAACTCCTCGATGGAATTGAAAATAGGCCGGATGGGCCGAATGCTCTTGACGACGGCCTCATTGGTGCGTGTGTGCAGGCTGGACGACGGCGTTGAAATGCTGTCTTGTCGTCTTTTTGCGATCAAGCAAGAAGTTGCAAAGTCGAGATTATATAAGCTAAATAACTTACATAATTCATTAGATAAGCTTATCAACTTCTCACGTGCTTTGGCGCGTCTTAGGGAAACGCCAACCCAAGCGGACGTGTTTCTCTCTTTTGCCGGTATATTGGACTTTTGGAGCAGACACATTGAACGCCAAAGCAGCTTCTTGATGGTGGTTGCAGTGTGTCGCCGTGATAGACAGGATGGCACCGGATATCAGAAATTTTTTTGGGCCCAAGGGAAGCCAGGCTGCAGCGCCAAAGTCAAAACCAGCTGCTAAGCAATCAGAGGTACATATTTCGGGACAATGCGTTTGATATTGGGCTTTTGACGCTGATGATGGTAAATTCTTTTTTTGACAGGATAAGTCGAATCCTCGGAAAAGAAGTATGTTATTTCTTGTGGAAAGTCTTACTATCGGGATTATGCTAACTGTGGTCTAGGAAACAGAAAAGTTATTGAGGATAGCGACGAAGACGAGGAGACCGTTAAAGCACCGCCCAAACCACAACCGAAGAAGAAGCCGTGAGTATCAATGGCTATGATTTCCTCCGTTGACACAGAACACTGACACGTATGTGCATAGAAAACCCGAAGAACCAAAGGCCGAGCCTACCACCACATCCGAGTACTTTAGCTCAAGTAAAAAGAATCGCAAGCCAAACGTAACTCCAGATAACAAGCAGCTCAACTCAAATGGCCAGGAGAAGAAGGTCCTAACCACGCGAGAGAGCCCACGGAAATCCACCAGAAGCGCACCCTCCGTTGAAATTCATCCGCCGCCACTACCTTCAAAAGAAGCAAAGAAACCACGGAGAGCTGAACGGATAATTGATGATGATGATGATCTTGGAGGAGACGACATTTTTGCGTCGGAATTCCAGAAATCAGGAAAGGGTGACGATGACTACCAAGAGGAGGATGAATCCGATGATTTTGATGATATGATCGTGAAACCCCCAACTGCCTCAGACATACATTCAAATAAAACTAAAAAGGATACCCTTCCCGAACCTGAAAGAAAGGTTCAGAAGCGCAAGTCAGCAGCCTTGAGCGAAGACGAAGAGGAGGCTGAGGAAGACGGCGGCAAGAAGAAAACGACAAAGGCTCGCGCTCCCAAAACAACATCCAAATCCACACCCAAAAAACCTAGGGCAACTAAAGCGGACCAACAGGAAAGCAAAGAGATACAAGCTATACTTAACAGTATCCCCGAAGTCAAAGCCCCTTCACCACCAACTGCGACGAAGAAATTCAACTTTGTTGCAGCTGCTCAACGCGCTCAATCTAGCGGTACTATTGATGATTCTGACCTCCCAGTCGGGGAGCCGAATTGTCTTGCTGGACTTTCTTTCGTTTTTACCGGTGTTCTTGACTCCCTTGGGCGGGAACAAGGACAAAATCTTGTGAAAAAATACGGGGGAAAGTGCATGTCAGCTCCAAGTTCAAAAACAAGTTATGTGGTATTGGGTAATGATGCTGGTCCGAAGAAACTGGAAACCATTCAGAAGTATAAACTTAGGACAATCAACGAGGGGGGCCTGTTTGAATTGATTAGGAAACTCCCTGCAAATGGAGGTGACGGAAAGGCAGCCCAGCAGTATGCTGAAAAGAAGAAAGCTGAGGAGCAAAAAATCAGAGAGATGGCTGCTGAAATTGATCGGGAAGAAAAGAAGCGTGCTGCTGAGTCCAAAGCATCAGCTCCCCCTAGTTCAAGCACAGGAACCAAAGACAAGAGTGCTAGTGACAAGCGTGAGGCAGTTGATGACCGCCTTTGGACTACAAAATATGCCCCCACATCACTTAGCATGATCTGTGGAAATAAGGGCACTGTCGAAAAGCTACAAACCTGGCTGCGTAACTGGCATGCAAACGCGAGAGCCAACTTCAAGAAACCTGGAAAAGACGGTTCAGGGACGTACCGCACAGTTATGATACATGGCCCCCCTGGAATTGGAAAGACGACCGCTGCGCACCTGGTTGCAAAGCTGGAGAACTTTGATATTGTTGAGACAAACGCTAGTGATACTCGAAGTAAGAAGCTACTCGAAACCACTTTGCGTGGAGTACTTGACACCACCTCTCTTCAGGGTTACTTTTCTGGCGAAGGCAAGAAAGTTGAGCCTGGGAAGAAGAATCTGGTGTTGATCATGGATGAAGTTGACGGCATGTCTGCTGGTGACCGTGGTGGTGTTGGTGCGGTAGCTGCCATTGCAAAGAAAACCAGGATTCCTATTATCCTGATCTGCAATGAGAGAAGGCTTCCAAAAATGAAACCCTTCGATCATGTCACATTTGAGTTACCATTCAGGAGGCCAACCGCAGAGCAAATCCGTGCACGGTTGTTTACCATTTGCTACCGAGAAGGCATAAAGATACCTCCCCAGGTGCTTGATGGTCTTATTGAAGGAACTCATGCCGATATCCGCCAAGTGATAAACATGCTGTCAACGATAAAACTTAGTGCCAATAATCTTGATTACGATCAAGGCAAAGAAATGTCAAAAGCATGGGAGAAGCATGTTATACTTAAACCTTGGGATATTGTTGGGAAAATCCTTAGTGCGCAGATGTTTGCACCTAGTTCAAAGGCTACCCTCAACGACAAGGTTGAATTATATTTCAACGATCATGAATTCAGCTATCTAATGCTGCAAGAGAACTACTTGCGAACAAATCCGATGGCAGCTAACTCCTACAGTGGCAAAGAGAGGCAGTTCAAGCTTCTTGAGTTGGCCGATAAGGCTGCGGAGAGTATTAGTGACGGTGATTTGGTGGATAGAATGATCCATGGCTCACAGCAGCAGTGGAGCCTTATGCCAACACATGCTGCCTTTAGTTTTGTGAGACCAGCCAGTTTTATGGCTGGGAATATGACGGACAGAGTCGGGTTTACCAGCTGGCTGGGCAATAACAGCAAACAAGGTAAGAGACTGCTGTACCCCCAGATTTCTAGCATGTTTATACTCAGCATTTCTCTCTCCAGGTAAAATGGCTAGACAAGTCAAGGAGATTCAGGGTCATATGCGTCTTCGTGCATCTGGTGACAGACACGACATTCGCCAACAATACATGCCCGTGATATGGAACAAGACTGTCAAAAGAATGGAAGTTGACGGAAAGGATTCTGTCGACGACGTTATTGACTTCATGGACAGCTACTTCTTGACTAAAGATGACTATGATTCTATTATTGAGCTTGGTCTCGGCCCTATGAATGAAAAGAACATCAATATCCAGTCTCAAACGAAGGCTACCTTCACACGCCTATATAATCAACGCTCGCACCCTCTACCATTCATGAAGGCATCGAGCGTTGTGTCATCCAAGAAACTACCCAAAGTGAAACCAGACTTAGAGGATGCCATCGACGAATCTGATGATGCTGAGGAAATCCTTGGAGAGGAAGAGGTCAAGGAAGAAGAAAGCGATCTGGACTTGAAGAAGGACAAATATGTCAAGGCTGCAAAGACCAAAAAGGCCGGCGGTAACGCAAAGAAATCTGGTACAACGAAGGCGAAATCCAAGAAGAAGAAGTCGGTGGATGAAGACGACGATGATATTGAGGAGTCAGACGATGAGGCTCCTAAGAAGAGAGGCCGGAAGCCAAAAGCGAAAGGCAAAGCCTAACCAGGGCATATATATCTTTATGATTATCTTGGGAATGGTTCTGACTGCCGAGCTGATTGGTCGCCGTTTTGTCAATCCCCAT